AAACCCCTCACCAAAAAAAAAAAAAAAAAAAAGAAGAAGAAGAAGAAGAAAACTGAGGTCATGAATAACTTGGTAAAATCATATATAACTGATAAGTAGAAAAAGCAGCTTTAAAACTAGTATGGCTGGCTCTAAATCCCACACTTTTTCTTATTTTTAGATTTTAAAACGATCTTGGAAGCCAGCTGCATGGCCTGGTGGTGAAGGCTGGTAGATTCCAGATGGCCAACCACTCAGTCTGAGTTCTGGACTGGGCAGCTTGAGAAACATACTAGGAGCATGTATGTGTGTTCATGCCCAAAATTCTGAAAGGAGGGAGAGACAGAGGAGAAGGGATTGTGTCGTAACCAGTCCCCACGGGAAGGGCTTTCGTCTCTCCATCTCTCTGTCTCTCTCTGGCAAGCACACAAGCCCTCTAGGGGAAAAAAAAAAATCTATCTTGAAAATAGGGAAGAGCGCGTGCAGTGAGAGTGACTTATTAATGATTGCATAATCTCAAAATAAAACTGTACATAGACAAATTCGGACAATTTTCTTTGAACAAGTACTACAGACAAATTTGAATTTGAATTGTATCTTTAATATAAAGTGAAATTTTAAAACAAAATTAGTTAACAGAAGGTATGAAAAGATAAATCAAGTAAGCTACATGATTAACAAAAAAGGCTCGAAATATGGAGGATTACTACTTTATAAAACTAATATCCTTTATAATCTATATTTTCAAAACAAGTGAATGTACACACAAAGGTTCAGTAGCAACATTACTAGACTTTTAGGAGTCAACTTACCTATATCAAAATCCATAAGAAATCTTTTATACCTGTATTTAACACATCTGCCTTACCTGTTTGTGATGAGTCGGGAGTTTACGTATCTATATTCTCCTTCATACTTCTGCTCAGTAATTGTCATTTTACCAATGGGTCTCCTAAGCCGAGTTAGGAAAAGACCAGAAATAACCAAGTAGGCCATCATGCTTGCTGGACCCTATTATGGGGAGAGGAAAACAAATTTTAAAGATATCATAATAAATTCAATGGATGGGGGCCGGCAGGTGGCATCATGGTTAGGGTGCTGGACTACCAAGTGGACGACCGTGGTTCAAGTCCCGGACCTGGTAGCTTGTTCTCTCTCTCTCTCTCTCTCTCTCTCTCTCTCTCCATCTCTCTCTGGTCAAAATGAAGAAGAAATAAAATTTAAATAATTAATTAATTAAAGAGCTGAGTGTACACTTTTCCATAAATAACCCTGATCTGATACTCTGAAATTGCTCCTTTAGTGAATTTTTTCCCTTGTTTCTTAAAAAAAAAAAAAAAAAACCCAAACACTCACTGTGTACTTAACTACTCATTAACTCTTCCTCCAACCTCATCCCCCAACTCTCCTGCATTTGCTCATCTAAACACTCTTAACTGGAGTTCTCACTTTATCTATGGCGTCTAACACTCTTCTGTTGGAACTCTTAATTTTCTCAAAAATTCCATGGTAATTCTCAGATCGCTTTCTTGCCTTCTCTTTGAATGTTTCCCCTCAGGTTCCTTTCTGAGCTTTCATCTCATCTCAAAATAATACCTCTAGTTCCATTATTCTTATGAAGCCAGACATTCCCAAATAAATACTATATACCTTCACTTTACTATTGTGTAGAAGTCTCGAGTTTAATTCCCGCAAATGAGTTTCCAACTCTTGTACTTTCCAACTTTGCAAGGGACCTTATCACCTACTGACCATTGCAAGAACGTTTGAGCTTATTTTTCCAAGCTCACTGTGGGCCCTTCACTCATTCCCAGATGTATCCTATGCTGTCATACTGTTACATCATTCACAAAGTCATGATGTATTTTTCTATGCAAAAATGCATCATGACTTTCCTGACAACCCAATAACATAATTATTTCTTAAACATGCCATTCCGTATGGTTGTTCTCATGACTGGCAAAATCTCATGGATACGATACCTAAATCTCCCCAAAGCAGCTTAAATGTCAACTCCAATTGTGGGTACTAAATATTTTGTTACAACTTTCAAGATTAGACTTACCAAATACTTTGTAAGTGCTAGAATACCTACCTCTTTCACCACACAGCGGATACTGCCTTTCTCACATTCTTAGTCCTATTACAGTGTATGTGAACTACAGTATGTATTCAAGATTTTAAAAATTAAATCTGACTAATTCAATGCATTTCAACAGCTATATGGGCCAAAGAGAGCATTAGAACTCAGTTTCTACCTTTAAGAAATGCATCATCAGGTAACAGAAATATATAGGACATATTTTAGTATTTTAAAAATGCAGTAAGTACCATAAAAATATCAAAGCACAGAAACAAGAGGGATTGAGTCTATTCATTTTCTTATAGAGAAATAACTATGGGAATGATTAAACTTGGGTCATGGAATACAAAAGAGTGAGAAAGACAGACAAGAAAATACAAATAACAAACTGCTTTCCTCAGTGTCCTGGGAAGCAACAAAAATTACTATGCATATCATTAATCAACTGAAAAAATACACATATAGATAAACGCATAAAATAACCATGCTATTATATAGTTGTTATATAGATAACATTACATATTAAATTATTGAAGTTAGACTTCAAAGAGAATACTCAGAAAATTTAAAGGTGATTCTTATCATCACAAATACATGTGATAAGGCTCATGAAATAGCCAATAATTTATTTTTTTAAAAAAGAATTATTTCACTTAACTTTACTTTTTATTTAAATTTGACCAGAAAGGAATAGAAAGAGAAAGTGAGGAAGCAAGCCGCCAGGTCTGGGAATTGAAGTGCGGTCAGCCATGTGGGAGTCCAGCGCCCTTAACCACAACACCACCTGCCAGTCCCAAACAATAATTTATATTATCATAAAATATTTTTGAAATTGTTATACCCACTTTAACAACACTGCTGATACTCTAACAGTTGAATTTCATATTCAAATGACTGTCTCCAAATCTCTTTTTAGACTTTACTTTGCAATTATAAATACATCTACGTTCAATGTTTAAATACTGGGAAAGCCCAGAGGAAATTAAAAAGCCAAATTAGAATACTTTTAAAATCTCTAGTACAGGCACCAGTAGATGGTATGATGGTTATATTGCTGAACTCCCACGTAGTTGACTGCGGTTCAAGTCCTGGACCTGACAGCTTAAAACTCACATCAAGCACATGTGTATACATGCCCAAAGTCCCAAGAGGAGAATGGAAGAGAAGGGACTGTGGTGTAGCTATCCCTCCTGGGGGGTTATTTCTCACTTTCTGTCTGTCTCTGTCTCTGGTGAGCACACATACCCTACAGCAAAAAATCTTTCTCAAAAATAATAAAATAACCTCTAATACAGTATTATTTTATAAGCAGACTTTGTTAGGTACATCATGTGAAAATCTGTTGTTTGATATATACAAAAATTCTAATGGATTATATCAAGCTATTTGTAACCCAGTCTTTTAGCAATTTGAAGGGCAGAATAAAAATGGACTCACCTGAGCTCCAATTGCGCTCGTTAACTTGAAGATATACAAAACTATGTCTAAAAAGGGCTGTAAAATAAATATTAGAATATGCATTATTAACACTTAAGAACTAGACTTCCTGGACTAATGGCTAATACATATTAAATACAATATGTTATTCAACATTACTACCTATTTATCAACATTTAGAGTTCCTACTATGTATAATGTACTATAACAATACATAGATCAATGTGTACATAAAAGATACAGTTCTTATCTCAAAAAATTTGAAATAGAGAGTGAACAATGTCTATAAATCACCAAGTGGGAAAAGACATTTATCACTTTCCATCAGCTGAGTTAGCTCTGCTGTGATAACCACTGGTGCCTTAGCAATTTCTCAATGTGACATAGAGACACTGAATAACATAACCTGAGCTGTAACCCAAAACTGTTACCAGCTCTCCTGGTTTTTGTATCTCTTTAAAGCAGCTCTCTCTGGGACCAGCAGATGGCATAATGGTTATGCCACATGGTCAGTCATGGTTTGAGTCCCAGACCGAACAGCTTAAAACTCACACTGGGCAAGCCTGTGTGCCTACCCAAAATCCCAAGAGGAGAATGGAGGAGAGGGGACTGCAGCATGGTCAGCCCCCCAAGGGGCCCAAGGGGTGATCTCTCGCATTCTGTCTCTCTGGGTAGCCCATGCACCCTCTAGCAAAAATCTCTCCTTAAAAAAAAAAAAAAAAAAAAAAAGTGGCTCTCTTTTCTCTAATGTGACTTGATTCTATTACTTTATCACAATACCTATAATTTCAACTTATCTGCTAAGCCTATGAATCTAATTTTGTGATTTTTGTGACTCAAGTTTCAAGAACTAAACTAATAATATGCTGTTCAAAACCAACTCAACTGGCACACTCAGTTGCACAAATTTTGAAGTGTTTTTTTAATTAGCCCAAGTTGTGTTAATTCACTGTAAGTCTATAGTCACTCCTAACTAATAACTACATGATTACTAGGACAGATAGATTAGTTTGTTCATTGTTTTATGCTGAGATCTACCTTTATTTGCTTTATAAATTATCCAGACGCTAGAAATATTTGTTATTTGGGCCATTTAAAACTTATTTTGGCCAGCTTGTGGCATGATGGTTCAGATAGCTGGATCCCACATGGCCAACTACGCAGTGCAAGTTCCAGACATGACATCTTGGAAAATACACTGGATGCATGTTCCTATGAATGCCCAAAATCCCAAAAGGAGTGAGAAATGGAGGAACAGGAATTATGGCATGACCATACCCCATGGAAGGTGCTTTCTCATTCTCTCTCTCTCTCCAGCAGCACATGGGCCCCATGGCAAACTTTTAAAAAAGGAAAAAAAAAAAAAAAAAAAAAGTTGCTGACCAACAATGACTCATAATTTAAGACAGAGATCAAACCGTTTACTGTTTAAAACAGTAAACACGCTGTAGTGCACAGCACCACTACAATTAAATTACCCTGATAATACTCTGCAGCTGTGACATGACCTGAGCTATACAGACTTGCATTAAGTGCCAAAGTATAAAGAATACAAATTGGGACCAGCAGGTGGCGTGATGGTTAAGGTGCTAGACTCCCACATGCCCCACCATGGTTGGAGTCGAGGACCTGGTGGCTTCAAAATCATGCCAGGTGCATGTGTAGGTATGCCCAAAATCCCAGGAGGAGAATGGAGGAGAAGGGATTGTGGCATGGTACTCCCCCCTGGGGGTGATTTCTCACTTTCCCTCTCTCTGTCTCTCTTTCTGGCAAGTGCACATGACCTATGGCAAAAAAAAAACCTTAACGGGAACCAGCAGTTAGCGTAATGGCTATGTCGCTGGACTCCCACATAGTCGACCGTGGTTCGCGTCCCGGACCCGGTGGCTTAAAACTCACGCCGGGTGCGTGTGCGTGCGTGCCCAAGATCCCGAGAGGAGAATGGAGGAGAAGGGATTGCGGCGTGACCATCCCCCCCTGGGGGGTGATTTCTCGCTTTCTGTCTCTATGTCTCTCTCTGTCTGTCTGGCGAGCGCACGCGCCCTACAGCGGAAAATCTCTCAAAAAAAAAAAAAAACCTTAACAAAAATAAAGAAAAAGGAAAAAAAGAAAAAAGAATACATATTAATATCTACAAGATTACCTTTTAAGTTTTATGTATATCCCCCGCCCGTACTCCACACACAGAATAAATTTTAAATTTTGTAGGTAATAGGAACAGAAAATAAAATTAAATTACTAATTACGTGAAGTTGTCAGATTTCCCAGATTTGGGGATCAGTCAGTAAGGCTTCTGGAGAGCTAAATAAAGAACGAAGATTGACACGAAGTGAAAAGGTATCTATAGTAGTGGGCCCGTGCACCTGGAAGGATGCTCTTGTAGATACATACCAGTTTTCTAAGAATTTAAAAGGCCAAAATAAAATACTTTTAAAAGCTCTAGTACAGTATGATTTTATAAGCAGTTCTCCTCCTCCTATGCACATAGTTTAAACAAGGGCATTCCAATTCTTACCATGTGACCCAGCTTCTCGTATATAGTTTTGTACCCCATCACTGAATATCTGGGTCAGATGTGACCAGAGACAAAGATACTCTAACCCAGACCAAAGGTAGTTGTGGACTAGAATGAGGATTAGAGGGCCAGCAGGTGGTGTGGTGGTTAAGGTGAAGGACTCCCACATGGCCGACCACAGGTGAGTCCCACACCTGGCAGCTTGCTTTCTCTCTCTCTCTCTCTCTCTCTCTCTCTTTTTCTCTCTCTCTCTTTCTCTCTTTCTCTTTCTCTCTTTCTCTCTGGTGAGTCCACGTGTCCTATAGCAAATTATTAAGAAATTATAATAATGATGCATAAAAAATTAAATAATTCTTTAAAAAATAAAAAAAGAATGGGAAGTAGGAAGAATATCTCAGATAAAAGAGAGAAGATACTTGGTTAACAGCCATATAGTTGCCTTCTACATGCCCTTAGTAAAAACAGGAAATAAAACAAAGAAGATGGCTTACTGAGACTACAGAAAAAAATCTCTAAGAGTGGTGAGATAAGACAAGTAAGAACCAAAGAAATGAGCAGGAAGAGAAAAATCTGGTTAAAGCCTGGCAGTCAAGAGCTTTGGCAAGAGCTTTCTGAGAAGGGAAAATTTACTATTAGAAAATGCAAATAAACGTATCTTGTGAAGATGTTATGACTAACACTTAAATGATCAACTAGAATTAAAGATACTGAAGTAGAGAATAGGCAGAAAGGAAGTTCTAGTCTAGTTTTAAAGATGCGGAATTACAAGTAAAACAACGAGCTGTAACAACCACTGGAAGCGCATTGGGAAAGATGAGAATCCATTATTTTATGGGAAGCACCCTGCAAAATTCTTACAAAGTCTTCGTGACAGGGGCCAGAGGGTGGCACCATGGTAACACACTGGACAAACACAGAAAGGTCCCCATGTCCCAAGGCCACCCTCTACACACACAGGGACACATGTCCACCATGGGGGCTGGCTGAGATTGAGGGTGGATTGTGATGTGGAGACCCTGGGATGACTGGATTAGGGTCTTTGTTCTTTATTTAGTTCTCCAGAAGCCATGGCTAACTGATCCTTCATGGATAAAATAAATACATAAACTTTAAAAAATCCTTTAAGATACTATATAATCAGTTCATGTCCAAAGCATTTTATAAAAATAACATAAAAAAGTAAATAATTATAATTAAAATTATTATAACAACTCTAATTTTTTCCTAAAAGTATTAAGTACTTATATGCTGCTATTCTATATATCTCATTAATTCTATATAAATCTGCTTAGATTAAAAATTCAATAAATTTAACGAATAAACTTACCTTACTAAGATTTGAATACAGATCAACTACACTGTTACAAAATTTTTCTACATCTTGTGTAAGCAGCTGGTCTGGATTAGCTATTCTGTTGTCCAGATTTCCCATTTTGTAATACGTAAAAGCTCTAAAATAGCAACAAAATTATTTTAGTAAAAGTTAATTAAAAAAACAAAATTTCGCATTATATCACCTAGTACAAATAAATAGAAAAAGTGAAGTCTAGAGCCAGAAGATACCCTAAAAATTGCCCTAACTTATTTTAGAGATGAGGAAGAAAGTCCAGAAAAGGATGATTAGCCAATTAATGAACATCCAGGATCAGATTCCGAATAACTGAGTGATTATTCCCAACATACTTCTGTGTCTGAGCAATTTTGAAAATCACATATAGTAACTAGGAAAAACTTCTATATCTCAGTATCATACATATTTCTGTTCAAGTTAAGTACTTTTAATATATAAATAAGTTATCACTTACTGGAGATATTCCTCATAGAGGTATTTAGTGAGTCTCACTCGGAAGCACAGTTTGAGTTCATTTAGCCCATACTTCAAGAAGTTATTGACCAGAGAGATCTAAAACAAACAAGCATTAATAGTTTCATTTCTGCTTCATTTCTCCTTACAAATTATCCTATGCTAAACTTTACATAGAATTTAAGTTTAGTGTATCACTGATGACGAGACAGATCTTGCCACCTTTTTACTGATAAACAGTCCAATTTGTCTGTCACTTTTTTAGCCAGTGTAAAGACTTTTAGAAGTCGCAACTTTTATACTTTCTGTTCCCTACTATCAGCACTACAACTATGTACAATGAAATGAAATTCTGTACACACTGTGTTTGCATTTGTTAAAAAAACCATTAAGTTTTATACCAATCAATGTTATTTTCCAAATTTTGTCTAGAGCCATCTTTACTAACCTTTTTCCATCATTACATAATAATTCCATCATTATATTAATCTTTTTCTATTATTATATTTCATCATTTTATATATATAAAAAGATGAACTATTTTATATATGTGTGTGTGTGTGTGTGTGTGTGTGTATATATATAAATAAAATCTTTCCATAGTTCCAAACTCACATTTCCATTTCCATTCACACTCACATTTAACAAAAAACTTTCTCAAGTAGTCTTTGCAAAACACTGGTCTTCCACTGAATCTCAAACTTCGGTATCTAGGTTGCTTACTTCAATTTTTATTTTTTATTTTCTTAAATTTTTAATTTGCATTTAATCACTGTACATCTTTACAGAATACATGGTTTTTCCCAGCATGAATATCATGCATATTAATCAAGTCAAAACATTAATTACTATATACATTATGATCAACAGGTAATGTTTCATTTTTGTTATCTATCAAATGTTTTGTTTTTTCCCCTCCCTCCCACCCCAAATTACCTACCAGCTTCTATACTGTCTCTAGTATCTACAGTTGGTCTCCCTGCTGTTACACCTTCCAATCTTTCAGTTTCTGCTATACAGTGCAGACATCAGTATATATTAAGCACAGGCAATAATTCCTCAAATAGACAAGTGGAACAATATCTGGCTAAAAAGCTTTAACATGGCAAAAGAAATGATAATTAGGGTGAGGAGACAACCCTCAGAATGGGAGAATATATTTGTAAAATATGCCTCAGATAAGGGACTGATAAACAGAATATACAGGGAGCTCAAGCAGCTTACCTCCCCCTCAAAAAATAATAAATCTGGGACCAGCAGTTAGCATAATGGCTATGTCACTGGACTCCCACGTAGTCGACCGCAGTTCGTGTCCTGGACCCGGTGGCTTAAACTCACGCCAGGCGCGTGGGCGTGCATGCCCAAGGAGAATGGAGGAGAAGGGATTGCAGCGTGGCCATCCCCCCTGGGGGTTGATTTATTGCTTTCTACCCTCTGTCTCTGTCTGGCGAGCACACACGCCCTATAGCAAAAAAAAAAAAAAAAAAAAAAAAAAAAAAAAAAAAA